AGGCAGAGCGGATGGTGGGGTTGGTGAAAGATTGGTTACGAAAGGCAAAGTATGGGAAGGGAGAAGTATGGACGTCGGTGATGTATTATAATAATAGTAGGAGGGGAGAGGATTTGTCTCCAGCAGAGAAGTTTTTAGGGCGCAGAACGAGGATTGGGTTAGATGCTCTGAGGCCAGAGTCTGAGGGTCCGAGGAGAGAACGGGAGGAGGAGGGACTAGCAAAGTTTATGGTGGGACAGTCGGTGTGGGCGAGGGTATATGGTGAAAAGGAGAAATGGCGAGCCGGAGTTGTGATGGAAAGGGTGGGAAAAAAGTTAAGTCGGGTCCGTTTTCAGGATGGTAAGGTTGGTGTAAGACATGAAGATCAGATACGCAGAGGAACGGAAGCGGGGCGAAAGTGTCAGGGGCAAGAGGTCAACGAGAGGTCCGAAGTTAAAAAAATATATATAGGTCAAGGTCACGGGGGTGGTGTAGGTGGTCGTTCCGGAAGGCGGAAGGGAAAGGGGAAGTATGATATAAAGAGGGGTATATATACATAAGGTGGGAATATAAGTCAAAGTATGATCGAGTCAAATTGTAAAGAAAAATTATAATGTATCAGAGTAAAATAGTAAAAGGAAAATTGTTTTTTTGAATTGTTTTTTTGAATTGTTTTTTTTTGTGAAATTTGGTGGAGCTGAAATAAATATTAGAGAAATGTTTAAAAAATGTTGAATTAAATAAATTAAGGAGAAATAAATTATTAAAAAAAAAAAATATTTTTTGGAAGTTTAGGTTAAATAAAATAATGTAAAGGGAAAAGGGTTTTGAAAGTGTATATTAAGTAAAATAAATTTTCGAAATATATTTGGTGGAATAAACCGGTAACGAAGAAGGAATAAGCGGCGGAATAATATTGAAGCGAAAATAGTTGAAGGTTCTTGTGGTAAACGGAGGGGCGGAGGCAGGAATAGAATGGGTATGAATAATGGGAATAGGTGGATGGGATGATGTAATAAAGAGAAGTATTGAGAAAAGTAAGAATGAATTTAAAAAAAAAAAAGAAACAAAAAGTAATAGTAAAAAAAAAAAATAACGGGGTTAGGGTTGAGTGATTTGTATTATAATGTTTTTTATATTATAATGTTGTATTTTGTTGGCAGGGAAGAGTGAATTAAAAGGAAAAAATAATAATAATAATAATAAGATGTTAATAAAGGGAGTAATGGTTGTTTGTTGTTTTTAATTTTTCTTAAGAGAAAAATAGTAGGAGTTAAGGTTAAATGATAAAAAATATAATAAAATTAATAAAAGTTTTTCTGTTAACGAAAATAGAGAGAGAAAGAGAGAAAAAAAAATAGAGTTAGGGAGATGGGGTATTGAAATATAAAGGAAATGATTTACGAGTAAGAGAGTGTTGAGAAAAGGAAAATTTTGAATAAGTAAGAGAAGAAGAAAACATAAAATTCATAATTTTATGCGGTAGAGGAAAATATCATTTTATTCGGTATGCCGATTATTAATAAGTAAGTCGTTATATATATATATGCAAGGAGAGTGATGAGGAAAGGGAAGGGAAGAAAAGGGGGAAAGCAGAATAAAATAAAATAATAATAAGAGAAGGTAAATGATTATGTGATATAGATATGTAGACCTGGGTACTCATTTGATGCGAAATACGATAATTAGTGCGGATATGGAACCGCTTGCTAGTGAATGGAGGGCTTTAGCCCAGGAAGGCACGAGATCAATGGAGGGGAAAAGAAGACCATCAGAGCACTCAAGGGAAACGGTACGTGAAGAAAGAGACAGGGTGATATGTTATGGTTGTGGAATGGCGGGACATATCCGCAGGTGGTGTCCCAAGGAACGGTTTGATACTATGGGAGGGCGAACCTGGAAGGAGTCGGAGCCAACGTCCGCATCTTCCGATAACAGAGCAATACAATCAGATCAACGAATGGCGTCGGACACGCCAGTGTTACGGGTAGGAGAAGATGAGTATAGGCAGTTGTTGGGGCCAACGAGGTCCGATAAAGGGGGGAAATGTCATAAATGAGTGACATATTTGATGATATTTATTGCGTGAACATTAATAAATAAATTGTGCAGCTTCATTATTAGACCGTATTTTAATATTTTGTTTTATTTTATTTTTAGATATCGAAATTAAGTTTTGTTAAATCATAATGAGATTGTATTTTATGCGCTTCCCTATAAAAGGGAAGCGAAATATTATAAAATGATTATTATTATTAACTATTTTATTTTTGTTTTTAATATATTTTTTTTTGGTTGTAATAGTAAATAAAATTATTCATTTTTTTGTGTGGGAAATTCAATAAAATTATTATACTCGGAGTTTTGCTTTCTATTCGGACTTATACTCGGAGTTTTGCTTTCTATTCGGACTTATACGGCACAACGTGATAGTGATAATTCTATAGCATCTTGAAGTGCCAGCTGAAGTGTGTGAGCTGCACACCGTACACTATAAATCGGATAGGATATAATAGTTGATAAAAAAGTATTTTGTATATCATCAATATCATATTTATATACATTTACATCCATATTTTCCTCATCTGCTGATTCACTCCTTGTATCATAATCAGTTTCAGGTTGCAGGAGCTTTATAGCTCTTAAAAAATTACAACCATTATCAGAAGTATTTGTTCAATATTAATTTTAAATTTTAGTAAAATTTTTAATATATTCTCATTTATATATTCTCCTGTACATTTCTCTTTCAGCTCTACAATTCCAAGAGTCCTCAAATTTATAATGGACTTTGATATAAATTGAATATTTACACCAAGAATTGACCTATCTAGTCGTTGAACTGCATCAACTTTTAAGCTTATTAATTTTCCTTCTACCTCTCTCGATATTTTGTCTCGAATTGATTGGGCTGTTTTATTAATAGTTCTGGATAAATTTTCTTTGTTTATAACTAAATTGAGCCCAGATAGGAGTGGATTTATAATTCTTTGAAATCCCGAATCTTCAATAATTGATAAAGGCCCGCCATTTACAGTAACAAGTTCTAGTATAGAACTCATCAAATCATTAGATGATATATTTATACTTATATGCTTTTTTGGAAAAAAGGTTTCTATATTAATTTTAGGTTTTTTTGCCAAAAACAATTCCTGATATTTGGTTTTTTCATTTAAATAATTTAAATATTCATTGTTGTGATTTCTTTCCAGGTGTCTTTCTAAATTTGACAAGTGATTACCAGACATTTTTACTTTAAAATATGAACATATTGATTTTTTTTCTATTGTATTAAGGGTAAAATGCTTATCAAATATGACTATATCTTTAATCTTAAATCTATAAAAAGAGAACAATTTTTTTAAATAGCAATGATTTCAGAATTAAAAAAGAGATATTTATAAATTTAATTTCATTTATAATATGCACTTCATTAATATCTTGTAAAAATTAATCTGAACCAAAAATAAATGATTAGCATATATAAATTTTAAAATCATTAATAAGTTCACAAAAACTGCCCTACATTTAACAATTTTTAAGTTAGATGTTTAGAATTTTTTAAATTAACAATATAATAATTTTTACTTTGATTTGTTAACCATTTTCTAATTAATAATCTTTAAGAATAATAAGATAAAAATTTAAAAATAAATGGCGTAAATTAATTCAATTGTTTAAAATTTTTTAACACTCCAATAGGAATCGAGAATAAATTTAAAAAATGGCATAAATGAATTAAGTTGTTTAAAATTTATTAACACTTCATTTAATTGGAAATTTGAAAATATAATATTTGTATTTACATATATTAATATATGATTTTAAATAATACACTGAACCCGGTTGAACCCGGGTTCAAATAAAATTCTTGGGTTCGTTTCGGGGTTTTGAAAATTTTATAAATGGGGTTCAGGTTCGGTTCGGGTTCAGAGTTTTTTTCTAAAAACCCGGGTTCACTTCTCCGGGTTCGGGTTCGGTTCGAATCCCTGGTTGTAGTAATATAGATATTTTTCAGATAGGTTTATATAATTAATATAGTATTGGGTGAGGTTAACTACTTAACACCCATATCATCTGTCATAATGTTATATCCGGAATCATATTTTATATCCTCAATACCATCTAAGCATCAAGATTTGAGAAGAAAAGGTCCAAACATTTCTTTCATCTAAAAGAAAAATTGCCAGGACCAGGGTTAAATTGTGGCTAAAATCCTCATAGGTAATAAATCAACCCAGATAGGACTGTTTAATAATACTACCCTGAACTATATTTTAGAAAAGTAATACTAATTAAGAACCCTTTTACAATTGAAATAACCCCATGCGAATTAAAAACATCTCTGGAAAAATTTTTAAATATAATTTATAATAGTTTTTTATGTAAAAATTTGATTGTTAAAAGATTTTATATACTTTTATAAATAGAAGATATTTATGTCATTTGGTTTATTAAACGAACGAAATTTTTTAAAATAGATATCAATTGTATAAAGTAGAAAAATGTTTTCCTACTGGGGGATGGGGACATCCTCACTTATTTGCCACTGAAATAAGATATTATTATCTATAAATAATTTTTTCTTTTTTATTTATTTTGGGCCCATTTTCTTGATATCGTTGCGATTTTATGGCTTTTATTTTGTACGTTTTATATTTTATTTTAATTTACTAATTTTATGCTAATATAATATTAAACTGCTACATTTATCCTTATCTAGTTATTTCTGATTTGAATTTTTTAAATAACTAATAAATATATAATATGAGTAATGACTGAAAGGAAATAAAAATACTACCATACCAAAAAATTATTTATATATAACTAGCTAGCAATGACATATATATATGTCATTCTTAGCTAGATAACCGCTACAATCTGGAACCAAATTATTAGTTATTAATTTATATTCATAAAAGGGTACAATGACTTATATGTCATTGAAAGGGTATCTTTAATTAATATTACACTTTGTAATAACCGAGTTGCAATTTAGGATTTATCAGATTATTCGTTTATTTTCCTACAAAAATCATTAGATTCGCGTAAAGTTAAAGTAGCCATTTAAATGAATTTAAACCTTTCTTTGATAATTTCTGACACTGATGAAGATCATTTCAATACGAATAAAGACAGCATATCAAATAACATATTATCGTTTCAAATAATATATTCCGACCTATAGAATTTGCTCACATCACAATCATGAAACCAATTTCTTTATAAATTAAAGAATTACCTAAAATTCATTATGATATAATAAATAATATAATATTTGCAATGTTCTAATATCAATCTTTATCAAAATCATACACAATGTCTACAGATTTAGATGACTTTTTTGCTCGTAAGGATAAAAGGAAATTGGGTAAAAAAAACAAAGAATATAAGATCGAAATTGTTGAATCAGAAAATGAGTCCAAAAATGAAGTAAATGGCCATTCTTTGCAACATACTGATATTCAAAATTCACAGGTTAAAATTTTCATAAATAGTTGCAATAAATGTTTTTAAATAGGAAAGTGATGGAGAATGGATCGAGGAAACACCAATTGAAGTTGATTTTGCAGCATTAAATATCCAAAATATGGAATCTTAGTATTTTATAATTAATCTAATTTAAAAGAAAACCTAAAATAGTGTGCTTGAAAATATTAATGACAAAGAAAAAGAAGAAAATGAAAACGAGCTTGGGAATGAAAATAAGGAAAAGAGTAATGCTGGATGGAAAGTAGTGACTCAAGGTTTAATAATAATATAAAATATTTAATACATCTAACTTAGAAAACGATGTCAAAAAGGATCAAGAAGTTATAGAAAATGCAAAACCAGGTGTATATGTACCACCTAATTTAAGAAAACATATAGTTCAAAGCAAAGTCTTTGTCAATAACAAAGAAGAATTTCCAAGTTTAATTAGCCAAAAGTGATAATGAAAAAAAGATGTGTACTTGGAATTGATACCCATTGTATTTTAAATTATATAGTCAATAACTGCAAAATTTTTATTTATTAAAGTCAAATTTAACAACAATTAATATTTCTTTCTATTATAAATCTTTATATAAAACTTGACATTTTATTTTGGGCTATTTTATGGTATTTTAATTTTTTATATAATATAATATTTGTGTTACATTATAATGTTGACAAATAATAAAGGTAAATAATTTTTTATTGAATCTTTTTAAAATAGAGGCTAACCTTACAGCATCAATATAAATAGGTTATCATAGTAATTAAGGGGTATCCTAAAAAGGGTCTAAAATTTGGAATTTAAAAATTAATATTTTATTTAAAATTTTTAATCTACCAATATTTTGCTCAGAATTTTTCATTATTACAATCATATCTTGCTCATTTTGTTAAATAAAATTTGTTTTAATTTTAAGCAAAATTTCCTACTCTTTAAATTAAAGAAAAAGTAATATTTTAAACATTTTTTTAGCTTTAGGTGAGGCAATATATTTTATAAGAATTTTAATGTGATTTGGAAATAATAATTGCAAGAATCTCTTATGAGAATAATTGCAAGAAAAGGGAGCAATTCTTTGTCATTTCAAAATTTATATTTTGTTATATTTAATATTAAATATATTGATATAATTAAACATGGAAGATATTTTTAGTGCCCCTACTCATGTTATCCTTTTGTGTAAGTGGTTTTCTTGCAAAAAAAATGATTTATGCAAGGCTTCTTGAGTAGGGGTCATTCCATGCCAAATGAGCGAGTTTTGGCTGACTTCCTTTGATTTTTTAAAAATTTAATAAGCTAAAAAGGTTTATTTAACTAAGAAATCGCCAAAATTTTAGCCTCCTATCATTATTTACCTTCATTCAATTGAACATATCTTAAAACTACATAATTTCAAATAACAAATTTAATATCAAAATTACTTCAAAGATTTTGATTTTACCAATTTCCACTTATTTTATAATATATAAAAATTAAAACGATTTTTTCAAATACTAAAAATTTAGTCGACATTATTAAACTAATATAAAAAAAATTGCTCGACCATGCTGAACTTCATTCTCAATCAAAAAAATGATTATAAAAGTATAAATATCAAAAATATATACAAAATGACATATAAATCAGTTTTTAATGGTTTTTCTGTGTTAAATAAAATCAATCATTCGACTTTGACCCAGAGTCTTCTGTCGTCTAACTTAGTTCACAACTTGAGTCTTAAATTCTAATTACGAACCCAGAAGATGAGTAGTACATAATTACCTTAAAAAATTAATTTTTATTTCCGTTTTTTAGAAATTAAGAATCTGAGAAGACTTGCCTAGCTAATTTTTTGTTTTTGCTATAAACTCTCATGTCCCATATAACTTGGTTTTTTAAAAAATATTGTTTATTTTCACTTCACCATATAAAATAGTAAGAAAATATAGATTCAAACTAATGTAAAATGGCTAACTCAATATTTTAGCCAGAAAAATATTGCCTAAGCCTTGAGATTTCGCTAATAAATGTCCAAACTTTATGTCATCTAAGAGTAAAATCTTCAGGCTTGCATAATATTTTTCTATTTAAAATATTAAGTTAGCCATTCTAAAAAACATGCTCAAATCGATGAACCATTTAACAATACTAAATTATTACATGTAATTTATTTTTTATATTTATATGGTATAGACATTAAGAACTCAGAATCACTTTTTTACGTCATTTATCACAAGAAACATTTTAACCATTTACATATAGCAACTTAACCCTTAAAAGATGTCCATTATATAAATCTTCATTGCTTGACATCTAGAGAAGCATATAAAATAAACGTCAAATAACTTATTTTATAGCTTGGATTCTAAGCTAAAATTAAGGTTTAGTTTACTAACTTTACATTAATTAGGTAAGATGACAATTTGTATAACTTAAAATGGGTTTTTTGGAAAAATATATCAAGCCAAGAATCCAAACCATAATGAATAATTGTTAGGAAAAAAATAATGGTTCAGGTTAGTAAAAATAATAATATTGATTCGATTTGAACTTTAAAAACTCTGTTCAGCAGACCTTTTTGCATACAAAGCATATTAGAATTATGTAAAAAATAGAAAAAGTTTCTTACAAAATGATTGTCTATAAAATAAGAAGTATAATAAAATTTCCATCCCTCATTTTTAAGAATTTACATATTGCATATTGTTTTATTTTAAACATCTATTTTTGTTCTAACTGAGGTTTATGATTCAAGTTCATAAAACGATTTTAAGATTTAAATTCTTAGCTCGAGTTCCCGATTTAAGTTCATAACGACAATTCAGGAACAGATTTCTCAACTTGAGAATTCCACCCAAAACTTGGCTCCAGTAGTAGATTGACATTACTAGGGTTTTCTTAAAGTATTTGATATAATTTAAAGGATTATTCATCTTGTAACTGAAAATCAGCCAATAGGAAAAAATGGTAGCTACTGGCTGCTTAGCTCTATCAAGGTGAAGAGTGGAAAACTTCTAGTACTTTTCACTCACCGTCAGCTTACCAGGTTTAACTTTTCTCATATGAGCCGCTAGTCGTTATATCTCTCCCCTACATCCTCTATCCAGTCCAAAATAACAAAATATTGGATGGCACAAATAGCGTTTAACGTTGAACGGTTCTTGAGGATCCGGTTATCGCTTGCACAGCCACACGGTCACCGTACCTCATCTGCATTCACATTTATCACTAATTGTGCACTTGTGTACAGCGTACAAGTCATTACACTAATTTACTCTTGATACCAAATTCTTTATATCATTTGTTCATATTGATTGGCCTGATTTATGACTGTTTCTTATAGCTTGAATCTGCTGGGCAACCACCCTAGAGTACAATGGACCACAACGAATCCAATATTTATGCTGATTACACCATCTTTTATCTGAGTTCCTATGGTTGCTAACCAATAGCCATACTCATCATATTCCTATTAGTTTTTTACTGTTTAACAAATCATATCTTAAAAATAAATAAATCATTAGCATAAACCGGAAAATTTATCTTTTTAAAGATTTTTTGCCTTTATATATCTGTAGATATTGTAATATTGTTGAATAAATAAAAATAATTTCCATATGTTGAGCTTTATTTTAACTAACATGCATTTAAGCTTTTTTCAACTAAAATTTCGGTGAACTCTCATTTCTTTTCTGATCTAAGGAGATGTCAGCATTAGTTAATTGGATCGAATTTGCCAAACTATTATCGCACAAATTGCAAAATCAACAAAATGATACTTCAAAAGTTTTTAATTTATGTATATTATTTTATAAAATATATTTTAGATTCTATCTATATTCCAAAAACTTAAAGCAATACCAATGACCTTGGAAATATTGAAAGTATAATCTTCTAACATTGTGGTTATAATTGTTGGCAGTCAAGATTTTGCCAAGGAGAGGGGGGGGGGTTTAGATTCACTTATTGTAGGCCTTTGTATATTATACATTTTTATAAAAACAATTTTGACTTGTCAGTTTTTTTAATAAATATTCTTATTAAAGATTTTTTCCTTATTTTATTTCAAATTATTGTTTAAAATGATATAGTATATTATTTTTTTTTGGAGAGATGGGGGTAGAGGTGGGTATATAGGGGGCAATTTTTATTAGCCTAAATTCATATTTGAGAACAGGCTAATTTCTAATGAATGGTTGGGGAAACATACTCTCCCCCCACCCACCCTTTGCTATGCCAGTACAACTTGTAAAAACTATGTTGCTAAAATTTTTTATTAGAAATCTAAAAGCCTATATTTAAAAAAATTCTTTCTCAGAAAAAAAAGCTTGAATAGAGGTAAGTTTTATTAAAGTCATTTAGGCCCAAGAGAGTAGTAAAAATTTAATTTAAATTGAGGAAATAGCATCAGGATAATAATCGGAAATCTGAAGCTAGTTAAATATTTAGGATCATAGAGCTATAATTGTGCCCCCCCCCCATCAAATCCTAGGCCCTCACAATAGTTTATTCTAAATTTGGCATTTTTTTATTATTATCATATAATTATAAGATAATTTTTTAGTTATTTATAAATTACTTTTTATTGTATATTTTTATTTATTATTCTAATCTGATTTACCATAAAAATGAAAATGAGTAGTCAAAATATGCAATTTCTGATCAAAATATACAAAAAAATTTAGGTGCCCCCATTCCACTCATCTTCCCCTCCCCTAACAAAAAGTTTCTACCCCTGCTGAAATGAGCTGTAAATTAGTAAAAAATTAAAATCTGGGCTGGGATTAAAAATAGGAATAAAATAATTTACAGGGTCTTAGAAATATTTTTTATTTGAGCTGGGCCAATTAGTTGTATTTATAAAAATAATCAATAATTGAAATCGAAAATGTCAGAAAATCAATGGATCATTTAACATTCATTTATTGCTCATTTTTAACATTTTCTTTTGAAACAATATAATATAAAAAGAAATAATATGTATAAAGCTTAAAATGGTAAATATGTAAGCCTGGTCTAGTTTTTGTATTTGCTTAGTCGTAAAAATGACAACCATATTTAGTGCTCAGGCCTGCGCAGAGCATGCACCCTGAGCAAACGGGAGCATCAACCCTGAGCAAATCTGGAGCACAGATCCACCTCAAGCATGAACCCAAACCTCGAGAATAAATCCTGAGCAAATCTGGATCACAAACCCTGAACCCCCATTTTTTATAAGTTGTTTTTTCCTTGACCTAATGAAAGTATGGTCAATATAGGTATCAATCGATGCCTAATCAAAAGATATATCCAATAGGATGTCAACCTTTCTCTCTTATTAAGCGAGTAGGCCATGGGGGCTAGAAATATTTTTATCAGTACAAATATAGATATGATATGGGTATCAAATACTTGCTATATGAAATATATTTTAACTAAAATCACTCTTGGTCAGAAAGGGTTGAACTTGGTTTATTTTGAGGGGGCAAGGGTGAGATAAAACATAAAAATTCGATATGGTTATTAAATAAAAGGTAATTAAATAATAATTATCAACCTGAGTGGGCTCTTCTAGATTTTTGGGTGTCAGTAATATTTTTATCATCACAAAATATTGATATGAAAAACGTATTAAATAAAAGCTATTTGAAAAATTTTAACTTAAATATTAGTATTCACTCTTGGTCTGAATGGGTTGAACTTGGTCTATGGTAGGGAGAGACGATACTGGTATAATTATCAAATAATAAGTATTAATTAATCGTTTGATTGTAATATTAATTATCACAGTTTTTGGGGGGCAAGGATAACAAATATTCAATATGTATATCAAATAAATTGTAATTAAAATATCTTTTGACATATAATTAATTATCTCTTTAAGTGGGGTCTAGGTTATTTAGTTACGCTAAAATACATTTTTTTTTATCAATAATAATACTTTGTATTGGATATAAATTTCAACTGTTATACAAGAGTTGTTTGGATTATAAATGGAGTGAACTGATGCTCCCCTGCATCCAGCTTATTCCGGTTAAAACTATAATTAATATGATATTTATTAGTGATGTTAAGGTAACTAGTTACTTACTAGTTATATTTTTAAAATTGTAAATAGTAACTGTAACTAGTTATAATTTTTGAAATGTAACTGCCAAAAGTAACTAGTTACTTTTAAAGATATATTCAAATAATTAATTTTATTTTTATCATGTTGTGATAAATTAATTTTAAATTAAATTTATTTTTTAAATTAAATTTATTAATTTAAAATTTTGTGAAAATGTCTGATTGTTATAATTTCCCGTTCAAATTTACCTTAATACCTCAAAGTGATCCCAAACGAATGAATCATGCTTAAAACCAACATCACTTGATGTAGTTGGATTTTTTGACCTAAAGCGTCAAAATATTCTGGATAATGAACTTATAGAAAACTATCAAATCTAATAACAACACTTTTTCTTTATATAACGATTTTCCAAAGTTAAAATTACTCTTTATTAAATATAATGTTGTTTTAACATCAAGTGCTCCCGTAGAGCGCTTGTTCAGTCTAGGTAAGCTCATTTTTGGAGATAAACGAGCACGTCTCCTAGATAATAACTTTGAAATTAATTTGTTGTTAAAAGCAAATAAACATTTATTAGATTCTAATTTTTATGAAAAATAAATGTTTTTTTTTCAATGCAAATATATATTTTTATATTCGATGTAAATATTCAATTTTGCGATATTTTATAAATAAATTGTATATTATTTTAAATAACTGATTATACTTTGTTTATCCTAATTTTTTTTATATTAAATAAATGCATTCAATAAATAAATAATGCGCATATGAATGATGTATAAAGTAAGTAACTAATTACTTTTGAAAATAACTGTAACTAATAACTAGTTACTTTTGTAAAAATGTAACTAGTAACTGTAACTAGTTATGTTTTTGCCAATGTAACTAGTAACTGTAACTAGTTATGTTTCAAAAGTAACTTTTAACATCACTAATATTTATACGGGCTCATTTATAAATATTCATTTTTCTTTCTTTAATTTCAATTTGCTCGACATACCAATGTTAATATTATTTATTATAAACATACTTGAATGGAAAAATATATTTATAGAATATCGATGACGATTTACTTGACGATACATAACATGTTTATTAACTTCTCTTTATAGATTTTAAAGGAGAATAAAAATTTTTTTAATTTTAACATAATGTTTTGGCCAGCGCTTCAAATAAAAATTAACAAAGCACATACATTTTGCCGAAGTGAATCCGCTGCCGCTAAGTATTGACATGAGAAACATCTAAATTCGAAGGTAGGAAGATATTAAAATTTGGGATATATTTTTATAATTGGTATATTATTTTTTTTGTCCACGATTTCTCATATTTTTGATAAAACGACGGATTTGTGCCAGAGGAGGCTTGAACACCAAATCATGTCCTAAATTCATGACTAAGCATACATGGGAAGATTGGTTCTACTATAAATTTTAAATTGGAATTCACGAATAGTTATAAGTAGATTTATTTTTATTTCTGTAAAAGCTTAATTGTCATCTCGACATAGTATATTAAAAATCATAACAAATTTGATCATAATTTATTATAATCTAAACTAATATATTTAACACAAACATATACTATAAAAGTTAAAATAATATAATATCTATTTTAAATTTTCTCCATCTTTCTTCTTAGGAATGTATTTTGTGGGTGTAGATAAAAGCCCCGATTAAAATAGTATATTAAACAAATATGTTTTTATTAATAATTTTATAATACAATTATATTATATTGACATTAAAGCACACTTAGTGGTGTTAAACGGCTTAAATTTAGTTTATTTTTAAAAACGGTTAGCTCAAGATTTTAGGCAAAATATATTAGACAAACCTGGAGATTTTGTTCATTGATAGCAGAAATTTGGACATCTCTTGGCCAAATATATAGACTTTTTCTATTTAACCGTTTTTAATAAACAACACAATTATATAAGCGCAAACTAAAAATAAAATATTGTATAAGATAAAATATTAAGATTAAATAGCTATTAGCAAAAATATTCAAATTTTTAGATATTCTTACTATTTAAAAAATTTATTTCTAAATAAGTGATAACCTAATATCTATCCTTACATATGATTACATATACTGGCATACCTAACAAATTATTGCCATATTTCATCACGAAGAGACATAATATCTGCCACAGGAAGAAAACGATACGCATTGTTAAAGTGTAGAAGTTATTTCCGGTCACCGACGTTGTCTTTTGGCATAAAAATAAGTTAACAAATATTTTGTTTAACCGATTATAATTATCATCAATTAAATCTTTTCGAATACAACTTATTTTACACGTCTCTATAATTTAGAACATATGTACTATATATTAGAGGTCTGCAATGGTCGCGTTTTTAGTTCATAAGCCCGCCCATCCACCAGCGCGCTCAACCTGCCTATAGTTTTAAAAATATATACCCCCGCCCATCCATTAGTCTAAAATTTTTTACCCGCCCGTCCGCCCGCCCATTAATCTAAAGTTTTTTATCCTTCCGCCCATTATAAAAAATTTTTAACCCACACCACCTATAAAATTTAAATAAGCTCATTATTTCAATTGTTTTAAAATCTCATTTAAAATTTGATTTAGTTTCAGGGCTACACCCCTACAAAAACGTTTTATAATTTAGGGAATTGCTATATTAAGCATAAAAAAAGAAGCACTTTAAATTACTGATAATTTATTTGATCTAATAAAATATTTATGTAAAAAATTTAAATATAAAATTAATATTTATTGATATTATTTCTAATTATAATTCAAAAATAATAATGAATCGATATTTTCTGGATTCAAGCACGTTCTTTTTGTTCTAAAAACCTTCTAGCAATGCTAATTTCCCGTTCAAGAAGAATCCCTGGTTGCTTAACTTTTAATTTTTTCTAGCTTATCTTGATAAATCTTTTTCTTGTCGTTTCCATCAAAGTAGGATATTAGTTTGAAATATATCCTCTACTCAAGTGAGATATCTAAATAAAAAGTGAAACCATTAATAATAAATTTAAAAAAGTAGTTTAAATTAATTGTTTATAAATTGTAAACTTAAACTAAACTAAGTAGCCTATAATTTTGCTAAATTATACAAAAACTCGTTACTTTAAGATTTAAATATTTTGTTATACCATTAGGTAAGATGCTCTCCTCTGTAACAGCCACATCTCCCCATCTGCTGTTTACCGTGGATGCTACCTATTTCAAACATTGCATTTATAATTTAATACCTTTAATTGAATTCTCTTTGCTTTTGGGGAATCGGGTAAAATCAGATTTTCATCCACGTTGATAATATAGTCTTCCATCCTAATCAAATCCAACATGTTTTCGATATCAACATCCTCAGTTACCGGAACTTAGGTATTAAAAATTGAAATTTCATGGAGCATTTTTTTAAATGTTTACTTAAATGATTTTAAATAACAAATAAAAATTGTAAATTTTTTAACCCGCCCGCCCATAGTTTAAATAATTTTCTTAACCCGCCCGCTCCTTTAAAAATTTTTCGCCCGCTCCTTTAAAAATTTTTTATATTATTCGATCTATTATTACAATCAAACAATTATTTAATTATCTTTTATTTGATAACCATATGGAATTTTTATGTTTTGACCCCCCCCCCCCCCCCACCCTTTAACCTATTCTGACCAACAGTGAATCCTATTATTCAGTTTAAAGATATTTCAAATAGCTTTTATTTGATACACATATATCTATATTTTGTGTTGATAAAAATATTCCTAATCTCCAAAGGCCCAGACTCGTTCATTAAGAGGGAGAGATTGATCCCCAATTTAAAATTCTTTCGATTAGCTATCGATTGATACCTATATTGACCATATATATATTAGGTCAAGAAAAGACAAATTATTAAATAAAGGGATTTTGCTCAGGGTTTGTTATTCAGGTTTGTGCTTATGGTTTTCTCAGATTTTGTGCTCGGGGTTCATGCTCAGAGTTGGTTTAGTCGATATTTTAGACCCAAGCCCAGGATCGGGGTCTTATGCAATTAACCATTCAATAACACTAACCTGGCCTGGCCCGGCCCAAAAAATCTGGACTGGGAAGGGCTTTGAAAATAAAAAATTTTTTTTAAATAGGTTGGGCCTATAATTTAATCTTGCAAGTCTTTGATTATTATGATGGGAACAATAGAAAATTGAAAATAAAGTTAATTAAGAGTCTTAATGAATAAAATGCCTCAATATATGGATCGCCTATTAATTCTAAATTAATTTTTGATTTTTATATGATAGGAAACCAAAATTGGTAAGATTGTTAACACTTTTAGAAAGCATCCTGATGCGAAAATAAGCACTTTAGCAAAAGAAATTGTTGCTGATTGGAAATTGATAGCTTCATCTTATTCTAATCAAGTAAAGAAGACAGAAAAATCACCAGAAAAGTTTGCAAAATTAGTTAAAAATAACAAAAATTATATTGATGATGATAATGTAAAATTTATTGAAAGCCAAAATAAATTTAATTTAGAAGAAAATTTTAATGATGCACTAAACAATCGTAATATTCATAATAAAAGTGACAAATTATTACATTCAAATAAAGGATCTACAAAGCATGTTCAAAGTAATGCTTATATATCATCCGCCAATAAAATTTACAACATTTCGCATACTAGTATCAACGAAAAGGTTTATATTTATTATTTATACATAAATATTTAATTATTTATTTTCATTTTTAAATTTTTTTTGAAAATTTTATATAAAAAGTATATCTCTATTTATTTTTTCTGTTTTTTTTAAAAATAACTTAGTAATTTAATACAAATTCTTTAGTTTTATTTAAGAAAAATTTGGTTTTCCCTGGTTTTCCCTAACTTGATTTCAAGGGCACCCATATACTTTTCTTAAGGTGGAGGGCATACATATATATTTTGGTAAGGCTTTCAAAAAAAGCTTTTATTATGATGAGAAACACCTAGTATATTGTGTTAATAGTATCATATAAAGTTAAACTGTTCGGAAAGCCTTAGCTATATTTGTTTTGTCCCAAATAAAACCAAATATTTGTTTCTTCTAAATAGTTAGTTTATTTGATATCTTTTTTGTTACTATTTTCAATATTTTATTTAATGTTCCCAATGATAATTTTATCCTATTAACCTTTAACTGTTACCCCTGTGATTTTAAATATTTAGTACAAAAAAGACCTGTCGATATTTTGACTGGGAGTTATTTGTATCCTCCTATTCTATGCTATCCTAAAAAATTGTGTGCATTTTTTATTGAAAGATTTTTGAGAAATAAATATATTTTGTAGGCCAAAACGCATATTTTAACTCTTATAATTTAATTTTTTTAAAATTATTTAATGAATACATTATTTGAAATTGAAAGTATTAAACGCTTAATATTCTCGAACTTTTTGAATATTGTGTTACTCTATTTTGAGTCACATTTTCAAAATAAGTTAATATTTTTTTGATTAGGACTTTATTTAAAACGTATTTTTTAAAAACATCTTCCAATTTATCCAAATAATTAGAAATAAATAAAAATTTTGATGATTATAGTATTTTAAATAAATTTTAGCCAAAATTAAAACAAGTTATTTTTGACACTCTTATCAAAAATTATGTTAAATTTGTAAAATAATAAATCTTTAAAATTTTTATATAAATTAATATAAAATTGACTTAAAATATTCAAAATATCAAATCTTAATTTGGATCTGAGATGCAATATCTAAAATAGGGGCACGCTATACCCGATCTAACCACTCGCATTATTTTTTCCTATCTTGCCATGCAAGGGTTAACTGGATGAAATTCAAAACAAGAAAAATACTCGATATCATCATTGAAATGGGATCTAAGTTATGAAAGAGTTGACCAAGCCATATGGACTGCTATATCTGATTCAATATATTTTTTATTAACGATATCCATATTATATATGGACTAACATCTTGCCCACCACGTCTTAGCTCTGTATTTAGTTTTAGAGTGCTTCCAAATCGAGTGATAGCATTTTGTCGAACTTTTTCTCTCTTAAAACATACCCTTACACTGAGATTGAGATTTATATTTATAATAAAAACTTTTAAAAACGTAATATAAAAAAATATCCAATATAGACGATACATTTCAAATACATAATTTGAAATTGAAGTAATAAACTCTCAATACTTCTCGAGCTTTTGCTTGAATGTTGGGTTGCTCTATTTTAGGTCACCTTTTATCACTATGCTCTTGTATAATTTGTTGAACTTTTTATTACCCTCTTGTATAATATATTGATAACAAATTAATTTTTCTTTGATAATAATAAACCAGTAAAATATTTTTCTCTATTTTTATATTTATATATATTTATTTCTAATATTAATCCCCCCCCCCCTCCCCTTTTGTTACTAGGCGCATCGTTCCCCCTGTTATTTAAAAAAAATTAAATTTTTATCCAATCAGTGATAATTTATTTTTTTTTAAAAAATTTATAGCATACCAATTCTTTACCATTGCAATCGCCCACTTGCCATCACATTTCGCGGGAAACCAGTAATACCTCTTCTGATTACGAAAACGATTATTCCGTCCACATTGATAACAACGTTCCACTTTCCGATCAAATTTACGAACCTACTCCAATCAATACTCCAAACATTTGCTATAAAAAAGAATCCATAAATAAAAATAATGCATTTTCGGAGGATTTCTTCTTGCAAAAAAGCAAAACTAGAACGCAAGTATATTCCGGGAGGAAAGAAAATTTGAGGTCAGGAGGAAAAGGGGGTCAAAGAGTTCCTTCCTTGCTTAAAACGTGCACAACAGTTCTGCTGGATAATATCGATTCCATAGAATGTATCGGTTCCGTCCCTTATCATTTAATATCTCCTGTTTTGGTTAAATGCACTCCATCTCAACTTTTCAATTTGGAACATTTTAATCCGGTAATAAATTTGCGTTCTATCTTTTTTTCCAATGGGCTTTGGTAATTTGTAATAATTCTTGAACAAGAAAAAAAAAATTGGAAATGAATATATATAATTAAATTGTAATTAATAAACATATCTATAACTAAACATCTTGTAATTGTAATAAAAGAACATATTATTTTCGCTATCTATCAATGATAACAATATAAAATACTTTATGATGCGTTTATTTATAACGAAAACACATCGACGATTTAATTGGCATTAACAATTCCTAAAAATTCTGTATATAATTGAAAAAAAAATAGAAATTATTGAACGATACGGACACTTACTGGGAAAAGCATTGTTCACGCGAGTTCAAGGTCTCTTACTCCCGGAGATGCTCTTTCCTCAAAAATCATCATCTCGATAAAATCGGCAAAAATGGATGTTTAGACGACGAGAGTTTTGACGAATACGACACCTGGCGAGATTTCTATCTATCCCAATTGGATGCCAGAGAAAGCAGGCTCAAGAAGATAACGGCCAACATATCGGCCGGCATTAAAAAATCGACTCCCGGGCCTAGAGTTAAATTAGCTTTCATGTCGGGCACGGCGAAGCCCCCCAGAAACGTGATTCGCAAACAACAGATGTTTGGGCTTGTCTTGGGGAATCAAAATAATGGAAAAAGTTTCAAAATTTTTTTTTGTTATATATGGTTTTCTTTTAATAATATATCAATATTCTTAATTTTGGAAGGAAGTTTCTACCAGCAATTTTCTGTCTAGTATGTTTTATAAATTTGATGTATATTTTGTATAATTTTTAAAAATTTTTTTTTGTTAGGTAAGCCCCATCCCCTATCGATTAATATTTTAATGTTTTATAACTAATATATAGTTGTGAAAAACTATAACAAAGATTTAACACTTAAACGATAAGCTGGGAAAAAATAATACGAGTGGTTGGGTGGTGCATTACTGGTCCCAATCTTAAAACAGTTATATAGCACTCAAATTTCTATGCTTAGAAGATATAAGATTATTATGAAATTAATTATATACATTGTATTCCATATCAAATCAACTGAAGATTCAACCCGACCCCCTTCGATTTTTTTTAAAATTTGTATGAATGGTAGTATATACACTAACTAGTAAAAATATAAAATTTTAATTCTCAACTCAGCTTACTTCATGAGATATGGCCATTTTTAGAAACGCGGAAATTCCAAAATACACTATATTTAATTTTAAATACAAAAAGTAATTAAACTAAAGACATGATTTAAATATTATTAAATAGCACTAAAATAGCTCTTTAATATTACATAAAATTTATTTTATTGAAAAAAGTCTATTACCAAAAGCCAGAAATAGAAAACCTGAAATGGCTATAAAATAAAAATTGTTCTTTTTTTTCTTTTAAATTTTTTTTACAGATAGACATTATACTTCTTAATATTTGTACAAAATCCTAGATTGGGACGAGTACTGGGCCAAAAGTTATTACACTTTAAATATAAGTATGGCTTAAATCCTATATTATACCAAATATGGAGTAATTATTTTTTTAAAAAAGTGGGCAATATATGTGAATAATAGCATTAAAACTAAAATCCTAAAAAATCTGATTATTTTGCATTTATTAAATGTTAAAAAACTCAAAACAACATATACCAAATTGGTTGCAAATAAAGTAATAGAATTTTATAATTCTGATGAAAACAGCAGACTTATGCCAGGTATGAATAATTTTATATCAATGAAAGTTAATGGAAAAAAGAACCTAGTGCAAAAGAGATTAGTTTTATGTAATATAAAAGAATTATTTACCAATTTTAAAGAAATAAACAGTAATATAAAGATAGGTTTTAGCAAGTTTGCTATCATGAGACCAAAAAACTATATTATAGCAGGCCAGTCTGGAACGCATACAATGTGCATCTGCACATTTCATCAAGATTTTAAGTAAATTATAATTGGTGGTAAATTAGATAAGTTAACTGCAAACCAGCATAACTTTCCATTTCCTCCCTTAAAAGATTATAAACACTACATTGCACAAAGTCTATGCAATCCAGCCCAGCCTTGCTGTTACTTAAGGAAAAGCCAAATGTGTCCTGGCACTTTGGAACTTAAAGAAAGACTACACTTATTGTTTGATAATAATGCCATAGATTATATAACACGAAACTTTTTATTTATTCGGAACAATCTTCATTTTTTAAGTCATTAAAATCGAATTTGAAGGATGGGGAATATCTAATAATATCCGATTTTGCAGAGAACTACGCTTTTGTAGTTCAAGATCATGCTCAAGGTTTCCATTGGACTAATAATCAAGCAGCACTTCATTCATTTATGATTTATTACCGTGAAGGCGATATCATCAAACATTTAAGTTACGTGATTATATCAGATTGTCTCAAACACAATACTTGTTCCTTTCATTTATTTCAAATAAAATTAATTCTATTCTTGAAAGAAAGATTTGATAAGATTTCAATAATATTTTATATTTCTGATGGAGCTGTTACCCAGTATAAAAACAAAAAAAACTTTGTAAACCTCTACAACCATTATAATGATTTTGGGATCAAGGCAGAATGGCATTTTTTTGCAACTGCACATGGCAAAACTCCTTGCTTGCGATAGTTTAGGGGGAATTACTAAGAGGTTGGCGGCTAGAGCAAACCTGCAACGTCCTCATGAAAATCATATAATAACTCCTATTGACATATAATTATGCGAGAATCAATATCCCGGGAATTAATTATATATTTGTTAGCAACATAGAATATTTAGGAATGGAAATCAATCTTGAAAATAGATTTTTAATGGCCAAACGAATTTCCGGGTAACAAAAATATCATTCATTTATTCCAATGGAAGGAAAAATGAAAGTCAAATTTTATTCTAATTCATTAGATTATTTAATGTATGATATTATTTAATTAATATGATTAATTTTCCATTAATTAGCTAAATAAAGTTATAAAATATTTTTACAATTATTTTCCTTCTAAAATAAAATAGCTAAACTTATGTGCTAAATATTTGCATAGGACCTAATTTTTCTAACACGGCCAGAAAGATTTATAAAAAAATATATCCGGCCCGATCCCAAACGAATTTTCTTTTTATTTATTTTGTAAATTATTATACATTTGGTATAATATAGGATTTAAGCCATACTATTTAAATTTAAATAATAACTTTTTGCCCAGTACTCGTCCCAATCTAGGATTTTGGATTTTGTACAAATATTAAGAAGTATAATGTCTATCTGTAAAAAAAATTTATAAGAAAAAAAAGAGCAATTTTTATTTTATAGCCATTTCCGATTTTCTATTTCCGATTTTCTATTTCCGATTTTTGGTAATATACTTTTTTTTCAATAAAATAAATTTTATATCATAATAAAGAGCTATTCTAGAGATATATAATAAAATTAAAATCATGTATTTAGCTTAATTACTTTTTGAGATATTTAAAATTAAATATAGTGTATTTTGGAATTTCCGCCTTTCTAAAGATGGCCATATCTCATGAAGTAAGGCGATTTGAAAAGTAAAATTTTACATTTATATTAGTTAGTGTATATACTACCAATATGCCAATTTTTAAAAAAATCGAAGGGGGTCGGGTTGAGAATCGACTTTTTTTGGTTGATTTAATATGGAATACAACATATATAAATTTTGAAGAATCAATATTAATTAAATTTTTGTGGTTTTAAAAATAGCTGAAAATTAAGAAAAATTGTTACAAATACATATTTCACATTTTTTATTATAAAATATATTAAAAAGTAAATCAAAAATTTTATAAAGGGTCTTATAATTATTCTAAACTGCCTTTACAGTAGGAAGACTGCTAGATCCTCCTTCCAATCTTCAGCAATTTAGTACTCAATTCAGAATATATTTTATCCAACAAAGCCTTATATTTTTGCTGGATGAACTATTTAAATATAAACTATATCGTATCAACAAAGGCTTCAAAGTGATTAACCCCAGTAACACTTTTTATGGCCTCGGACACTGCTCATTCTTAAATGGCGATTTAAACAATGTCAGGATATCAGGGGTTCGAACCGAACCCGAACCTGGAGAAGAAAACCCGAGTTTTGGGAAAAAACTGAACCCGAACCGAACCTGAACCCCGTTTATAAAATTTTCAAAACATCGACCGAACCCGGGAATTTTATTCGAACGGGTACAACCGGGTTTAGTGTATTGTTTAAATTAATATAAGATATTTGTATAATTGTAAATACAAATATTAATAATTTACTCGACATTTTATAATATTTTCAGATTTCCAATTAAGTGAAGTGTTAATAAATTTTAAACAACTTAATTCATTTACTTTTTAAATTTTTTTAAATTTATTCTCAAAGATTCCTATTGGATTGTTAATAAATTTTAAACAATTAAATTTATTTACGCCATTTATTTTTAATTTTTAACTTATTCTCAAAGATTATTAATTAGAGGAAAATGAAAGTGAACAAGTCAAAGTAAAAATTATTATTTCGGATATTGTTAACTTAAAGAAATTCGTCTAAATAAAATTTTTTAACTATGCTTTATACTTAACTATATTTTGCCTATAAATATAATAAAAAATTAATTTTTTATACCAAATTTATGTCTAGTTTTTTAATTATGATTTATATATAGAATATTTTTTTTATAAATTCAAAAATTTTTAAACCCGAGCTGAACCCGGAACTAAACCCGAGTTCAAAAATATTTCTCTGAATCAAACCCGAACCGAACCTACCTATTCTTTTAAACCGAACCCTGGCAAAAAATTTTGCCGGGTTTGCATTTCTGCAGGATATAATCGTTAGATATAGTGCGCAAAAACGCGTTGCCACTACTCTTTTTGTTTATCTTGCTCTGCTTATATAAATAATTTTTAATTTTTTTACCACGGCTAGTCAAAACTGATATAATGTCATTTCAATATTTATATTGGATCCTCTGTTTATAAGAACCAACTAAAATAAGGAAGAGTTAGTTTTGTAATTAAAAATATACAATTAGATTAAAATATTACAAATTTTCTTTAAAAATTAAATAATATGCTAATATACTATTATAAAAGAATAATTTAATTTTTTGGAAAGGGTATGCTAATTTTTTTAAATATGGAGGAGGGGTAATGCATGAGGTTATACCCCCTCCCCTCTTCTATTTTTTTATCCTTCTTTCATGGCATCTTATCCATATCATGAGCTAGAAATTAATGCATAAATTGAGTGCGTGCTAACTTTTGTATTATTTTTAGCAATCTTCCAAATATAAAATTTTAATTATTTTGTCATTTTAAAAATTAATCAGCCAAGGCATTCAACGATTCCATTAATACTAATAACGCTTCTATCTCACTCACTTCAAAATACTACTCGAACGATATGGATATTACTTCATCACTTGCAGGCAACAGCTCAAGGATTAGCAATCTAGAAGTCGATCCTGAAAGATACAAGGGACCTAAAGGTTAGTATAATTTAATTTAATATAAACCCTTGATAAGTGTTGTTAAAAACTTCGATTTAACTGATTTTTAAAAAACTAATCAGGAGCTAAAATAATATTATGTAATCATCGAAATTTCGCGAAAGATGGTAAAAAGGTTCAGGCCAAATCTTGAATATTTTTTGTTATAATCTTAATTTAACCTGTTTTTAAAAATCGACTAAATCGAGGTTTTTAACAACACAATCTTGGGATAATATTGTTTTGTTATTTTATAACCCTGAATTCAAAGTTGGCGCAAATTACTGGGAATGCAGGGCTAGGCCACTTCCAAACAAATCGTCTTTTCTAAGCGGTTTCCTTTGCACATATTAAAATATTTTTTAAAAAAACTTTCAGTGTAGGTGCTTCTCAACAAACTTCATTTGATCTTTAATACAAAAAAAACAAAATATTTTTATCGTTTATTAACAATAAACTTATATTATGCAAAAAAAAATGCGAAAAATTATTATTGTTTGAATTAAAAAAAACTTGCTTGGAAAAGTTGCAAGAGGGTATTCAAGATGTTATTTTACAATAATATAATATTCCATAATAATAGCTAAAAAGCTTCTTAGAATAATTTTATCAACAATTTTTCTTCCTAAAAGTATCAAAAATAATAAAAAAATAATTTAGCACGAGTGGGGTTTGTACCCACGCGGACATACGTCCACTGGATCTTAAGTCCAACGCCTTAACCACTCGGCCATCGTGCTTTTTTTTCAAATCTCACATTTTTAAAATTTTATAATGGCTGATGTAATTCATTTAAGAGCTTGACGATTTATATGAAAAATGGTCTTTAGTAAGAATGTTAGCGAGTACGAAATTTTAAGTATGGTGACATTTAAAACACGAGTACATAATTGAGGAAAGTGTTAGAGACATACGGGCTCTGATTAGTATTAATAATTACTAATTTAATATTAGTGGTATTGTGTATACATTTATTTAAAAAATTTTTTTAAATCCTTTTATTGTGATGGCTTGTCATATAAGTAGCCTATCAAATCTGACAGGCCGTGTGATTATAGACAGCCTTTACAAATTTTGTTTTGTTTATTTAAAATGATATAAATTTAATCAAAATGTGGATGCTAATCCACCGCACTGGATACGCCCTCTTTTGGATGGTGGAAGCCACTTAATTGTGTGTCCCCAGTGAACAAGACAAGTATAATTTAACAAAAACACCATAAAAAAGCAGGGACCCGAACCTTTATGTATAACGGTTTAGTTTGGTAACGGTATAACGTGATATTTTAACTTAAATTTAAATCAACTCCCTTTAGTAATTCTGACATTTATGATTGACGTTATATTATATTTTAATAAATTATCATTATAAAATTTAGTATTACTGACATTTATGACTATCGTATAATGTTAAAAGTTTCTACTATTTAAATACTGACATTAATGACTGACATGGAATGTTAAAAGTTTCTTTTATTTAGTAATACTGATATTAATGACTGTCATGTAATGTTAAAAGTTTCTATTATTTAGTATTACTGAAATCATTGACTGACATGTTATGTTAAAAGTTTATATATAGCAATATTACATGACAGGTGATGCTTAAAGTTTATATGTTTAGCTATATTGACGCTTATGACTGATAATTAAAATTTTCTAATATTGAAATTTATGAGACAGATAATATTATAATTTCTGATAACCTTTTCGAATACCAACCTAAAAATTCGATTCAAAATTTATAAAATTTAATTTCGAAAATCAAATTTAATATCAAAAATTTAATTTACAATAATTTCAATAAATAAAAAAAAACTGCATGATCAAATCTCCCTATCATTTACATTGTAATTTAGATCTTTCTTATTAATCAACTCCCTCCTTAACACTTATCAAAGGGGGAGTAAATCTATCATAGTGATATCATAACTCAGAGGTATATGATAAGGGGAGTTAATGTATCACGCTACAACGGTTCAGTATGTAAAAAATTATAATGGTTACGGTTCTTAAGAAAAAATTTATAAAGTTTAGGTTCGGTTTAGCTAAATTTTTTTAAATTATTTTTATTGAAGCAACACCATCGTATTATTATTTTAATTATTTATTAAAATTTTTGTCATCACTTAAGTTAATATATTGTTTATTTATATGAATAATATATAAAAAAATATATAAGAATTATAACTCATTTTTAAATATATTATTAGAACGTATAAGTAATATATTTTCTAATATAAGTATTCATATTTGTTCGTTATGACGATAACACAAATTTTAGCCCCGAAAAGGCTCTTTCAATTTTTTTGATTTTCCATATATAAAAACTGATGATTTTTTTTAAGATTAATTAAATAATTGCAACTAAATCAAAAATTGGTTATTTAGATATTTTGCATACTGAAATATAGAAAATAGGAATGCTCTAATACTATATGAAACAGTTAGATTGTGGATCAATTTAAGTCGAATTAACACATACTTCTTATAGATATTAAAAAAATATTTTGTTCATTTAATAATTATAAATAGCGACACATATATGGTAAAATATGTAATACACCACAAGAAATATGTAAAATCATTTATTTATTTTATTGAAACCTATTTAACTCTTATAATAAAAGTTCTTTTCTTTCAAATCGGTTCCGTTGTTCAGATATTTATAAAGGGTTTTAACCGTTTAGCGATTTATTTTGGTTCACTCAGGGTCACTGTAAAAGGCAAAATATACAGTTACGTTTAGCATTGTGTTGTACTTTTAAATAAAACGCTTCTCTGTTGAAATTTTATTTTTTTTTAGAAAATGTATAAAAATAAAAAGATTGCGTTTTTGAAAAATAAAAAGATTGCGTTTTTGAAAAAAAACGCTTACCAATTTGCACGTTACCATTAAAATTTTATTATTTGAAATAAAAGAATAAACTTGAATTTGTAAGCATTAAGCATTAGATAAATTAAATAATCATCATGGGAATAAGAATTTTTTATTTTTGGACATAAATTATCAACAAAAATTATCCAAAATTAATAAGGTCTATTGAATATATAAACGTTTATTATTAATTATTAAAATGACACCATATTGTTTTAAAATATAAATATATTATATAAATTTTAGGTTAGTCCGAACTGATAGCTTTTATCTCTTTTTACTTCATTAAAAATTATTATGGGTTGTACCGGACAACTGTACAAAATTATTTTATAGGTGATCGGCAAATTTTTACAGTTCGGGCTGGGCTGCACAGACTTCTAACATAAATATGCAATCAGTCTTGTAATTAATCAATTTTCACCGAGGATGGCAAAATAAATATTTAATCTATTAGGCCAAAATTACTTTTTGAAATAATCAATTTTAATTATGGAAGGAATATTTGTTTTGATTTCTTAATTTGGCAGGGCACATCGGGTGCTCTTCAAAATTTATGTTTTAATTTTTTCCTCCAAAATTTTAACTGATCTGCAATCCCCAATATCACCTCCCTAATCCCATTATAAGTAAATTTTGGAGACCGTTGCCTTGCCCGATTTTATTTTAGCCAAGATCGGCCTATAATTTACGAACAAAAAATCATAAATTTGCATTATTCAAAGGTTTAAAAATTTCGTCAAATTATTTTGCACGAATTGCTCGCCCCAATGATATATTTTGTAGTGATGTTAAGGTAACTAGTTACTTGTAACTGGTTACCTATAACTAGTTACATTTTGGCTAAAAAATAACTGTAACTAGTTATATTTTTAAAACTGTAACTAGTAACTGTAACTAGTTAAAATTTTTGAAATATAACTGCCAAAAGTAACTAGTTACTTTTAAAGATATATTCAAATAATTAATTTTATTTTTAATATGTTGTGATAAATTAATTTTAAATTAAATTTATTTTTTAAATTAAATTTATTAATTTAAAATTTTGTGAAAATGTCTGATTGTTCCCAACAATAACACAAATACTTATATGTATGGCAGATGTGCAGGGATTAAAATATTGTCAACCTCTAAAGGATACTATATTAGCTAGTATTGAAAAAATGTAACTAAAATCAAATAATTATTTATAAATTAATAATATCATGTTATAGGTTTAATAATCTTTATGATAATGACAACATCATTGCTGCAATTCTTCACCCTTTATTTAAAACTGACTGGCCTTGGATTAGGCAAGAAAGGAATAAAGCAAAAAAGGAGGAAATTTTAAATTTAATAAATACCTTAATACCTCAAAGTGAACCCCAGACGAATGAATCATGTTCAAAACCAACATCACTTGATGTAGTTGGATTTTTTGACCTAAAGCGCCAAAATATTCTGGATAATGAACTTATAGAAAACTTTATCAAATCTAATAACAACACATTTTCTTTATATAACGATTTTCCAAAGTTAAAATTACTCTTTATTAAATATAATGTTGTTCTAACATCAAGTGCTCCCGTAGAGCGCTTATTCAGTCTAGGTAGGCTCATTTTTGGAGATAAACGAGCACGTCTCCTAGATAATAACTTTGAAATTAATTTGTTGTTAAAAGCAAATAAACATTTATTAGATTCTAATTTTTATGAAAAATAAATGTTTTTTTTCAATGCAAATATATATTTTTATATTCGATGTAAATATTCAATTTTGCGATATTTTTTTATATAAATAAATTGTATATTATTTTAAATAACTGATTATACTTTGTTTATCCTAATTTTTTTATATTAAATAAATGCATTCAATAAATAAATAATGCTCATATGAAGGATGTATAAAGTAAGTAACTAGTTACTTTTGGAAATAACTGTAACTAATAACTAGTTACTTTTGTAAAAATGTAACTGTAACTAGTTATGTTTCAAAAGTAACTTTTAACATCACTAATATTTTGCATAAGTTTGGCCTGGCCTACCCCCAGTTCTCTGATATATTTACTAAAATATATTGTTGCGAAAGGTAATTTAGAATTGATATAATATTCGCTCATTCATTTGCTATCATTATATATTTGAATAAATCGCATTTATAAAAATTTGCGGAAATTGAGTTTGGAAGGGGCGACAAATTAGAACCATTTAAAAAAAAGAAGGATTAGGACAAAGCACAAGATCGTAGTCAGGAATTTTTGGTTGGGGGGAGAGCAACCGTTTATTTTGGAGGACTAATATATTTTTGAAATAAAATAAACAGTAAACAGTTGGCACTCTAAAATTTTGTTATGTTTAATTGAAAAATAATACTATAATATGGTACTATGATTTTAAATTTTAACATAAATGAATTAAAAGATAAATATTGGGTTATTTTTTTTTCATGTCATTAAAACAAAATTTTGATTTATCTCTCATCGACTCTCTAAACAATTCAAAATACAACGTCAAAAATTAAATATTAAATAACTTATATTATATTCAATATTATTAGTGGAAATGAGTGTTTATAATGTAAGGTGTCTGCATGAGTACCTCTCTGAGTCATGGGTGGTCCTTCACCAGGAAAGTTATTTTAATAGAATGTTCGTCTTTATCATAGTATCCTCTTTATAAAATCTTCGTCCTCTTTAATTTTTTAATATATTATTTAAATACTTGTTATATATTGATCCATAATTAACGTTTAAGTATGATTGCGTGATTGGCAGGAAGTGGTTTGCTTTTTTAATACATATTAGGAAAAAGATTTCTTGAAAAGTATTCGTCCTCCTGTGAAAGCATTCGTCGATTTTAATTTTTTTTAAATATTAATGACATGTATTGTCTAATTAACGTTTGTATCATGGCATGATAAGCAGGAAGTAGTTTGCAATGTCTATGATTTATCTTAATTGTTTAATTAATTAAATCTCGCTAATATTTAATGATATACCATGTTCAAGAAAAGGTTGAGAAGCAACACGGGCGAATTCACCAACACTATTGCTTTTTTTGTAGAGTAATAAAAGACGAATATTGGCTGCTGTTTTTTCATTTATTGGTTAATAAATTAATGGATATTTTATAACTAATATTTTTTATTTCTTGTTCTTGTTTATCCAATTAATTTGGCTAAATAAAATTTAATAACTAAAAAAAATTTTAAGAATTTTGTTTTCCTATTTAGATTTAATTGTTAATGGCGAATTAAAATTCAATTAGTAATATTTTTTAAATTTTGGGCCAGAAATTTTTTAGTGGCAATTTGTGTAAGGCCAAAAAAAAATTTGGGAGGAGGGGGAGGTGAGGGTGGAGGCTGTTCCCATGGCTACAGGCCTGATAAAGCTATTATTGATTGTTTTTTATTTAAAATTTTCCGGGCATGAGATAAATAAAAATGTCGGGGCAGGCTAAGACTATTATAAAATGGCGGGCTGCATAAAATTAAATTGCAGGGCTATAGGACAAATCCCCCATTTAAAGTTCGGAATGCAATTCATTTTTTTTTTGAAAATAAAATATACTACTTTATTTTTATCAATTTCCTATATAATTATTATTATTTACAAATTTTTATATATTTGAATTGTGTAATCAACTTTATATATCATCTATTTTATTATTATTGTTTTGAATTAAGCCCTACCGATTTCCATCAAAAGAGCAGCACCAATGATGGATAAGTCGTTAAAATTATTTAAAAGCTTCAAAATGCGGAGATAATATTATTGAAGATGGAAATGCTTATATAGTTACATATATGATTGTTTCATATTTTTTTAATCATAAATTCTATAAAAAATTATTGTATTTAAATTATAAGGGTAACTAATTTATGCTTGCATATCAACGAATTCATTATTCCAATCGTCTATATTAATGGGTTAATAAAATATGTATTACATATCAAAAATGCCTGATCGAATCAAAATTATAAACAAAGCTTTTAAAACTTACCGATCCGATTCTAAAAAGAGAACTAGTTTATCTGCAGACCGCCCTTTAGTTTATTTGCGATGTTATATACCTTTATGGTTAGACTTTATCTTAACTTTTGCATGTTTGAGGTAGCCTATTGTTTCCCTCAATTCCACATCCGATCTTAATAACTCAAAATGACACTCGGAATTTAGTCATTATAGGCCTGACTTTTTTTGAATGAGAATGCCCTCACTATAGGTAATAATATTAATACACTTTTTGAAGTTATAATAAAGGGTTAAGAAAGCCTCTTTGATCCGTATTTGGACGTAAGCTCATTGTGTTGAGAAATATTTAACACTTTTTTGGTTAGGTTATTTTCATATGTTTTTTTTAATATATATTTTTTTTAATTTCACGTAACGATATTGAGGTAAATTAAGTGTTTTGCATTTTAATTTTGTTTTTAATGTATACTAGTTCATTTATTATAGACATGATATGAAATTTATATTTTTTTTAATTTCACGTAACGATATTGAGGTAAATTAAGTGTTTTGCATTTTAATTTTGTTTTTAATGTATACTAGTTCATTTATTATAGACATGATATGAAATTTATATTTTCTTGAATTTTGATTGTAGCTAGCATTTATATTATAAAAGTAAGGCTCCATTATACCTAAACAAAAATTTAGTAGCTACAGAAAAATTGAAATACAATAAATACATGGACATCTCTTATCAATATAATTTTGCATGACCACTTTTTGTCCTCAAGCTCAAGACCTAATCAAAAAATTGGGCAGACAAATTTCAGTAAGAGGATCCTAAAGAAGGATTTTATCTTTGTCAATGACTTGCAATCCAAGTCATAAAATTAAATTTCCATTACCTTCTCCTTCCCTTCTTAATTTTCTATTGTAATATCACTTATTATATAGATTTGTAAAAGTTATTGCATTTTGTGGAATAAACTTACATTTCATTTTAATTTCATAAATTTTTTATATTCATTTTTATATAGTGTTGTGAACGCGTTCGTGTACGAAGTTCGTTTTGTTGAAAAAAATGATGAACGGCGTTCCTTTTATTTTTGACGAACTTTGAACGTAACGCGTTCCTTTTTTATGACGAACGCGTTCGAATTTAACGTTCGTTTCAATTTTAAATTTTTTTTATTTATTTGAAAAATTTAATATTTCCGAATTTTTTTAAAAAATGTATTATTTATATTTTTTAATCGGCTCTGTATTTTCTTTTCACATTTCAATTTTTTTAACACATAGTTTATTAATTTGAATATTATTGTTTATATAATTTAATAGATTAGCATAAGCATGGATATTATTATTTAACCCTCATCATCTGATTCTGAAAATCCAAAATCAGATGAATTATCATTACTATGGCCAAATATGATAAATGTTTTACTTTAACATCCTATATTGAAGGAACTAATCCAATGCTTACCAAGTGTAAAGTGGCCAAAAAGTATTATATTGTCAAAATCTTCAGGTTCCAATTTAAAACGACATTTGATTTTAATAATTATTATTTGATTTTATATGATATAACTAAGTTAAATCATTAAATTTGAAGAAATAATGCATTTGGGATATTTGACCCCAACAAACCGATAGTTATTTTAAAATTAAAAAAATTAGCCTCAAATATGGTCAACCATTTATAGACGACGTATAAATGGGATTAATAAAAGGTATTTAACCTATTACTCTCAATTAATTACATATATTTTATTTTTTTTTAAGATTTGAACATATATATAAGGATCAATATGTTCTTTCTGCAATTATACATCCAGCATTCAAACTTAAATGGCCATGGATAAAACTTCCACAGAACGAACCTATTAAAGATAAAACTTATAGCGTTATTGAAAAAAATGCTTTGAAAACCCTAGAGAACTGTTAATTTCGAGATATCCTTTTTTTTATCGAGAGTAGAGAATGGATTGGAGGAGTATAACTTATCTCAATTTTTTGCAAATAACAAAACAATATATTTTAATTAATTCTCTACGTTAAAAGAGCTGTTTATTAAGTATAATACCGCAATCCCCTCACTGCCCCTGTAGAGCGCGTTTTTATTATAGCTAATGCCGTATTAGCTGCCAAGTGTTCCTGTCTATCAGATAAATATTTTGAAAACAATTGTTATTAAAATTTAATAAGAAAAATTTTTTTTAAATAAAAATATTTTTTTATTCGCTATATTATATTTTATTTATAATTATATTATCATAATAAAACTATATTATTTTTTAACATGCCTAAAATATATTGTATTAAAAAATATAAGTTTATTTATATTAAATTAAATTTAAAAAAATTTTATCATAAAATTTTGTACGGTTTTATGAACGTGAACGCGTTACTTTTTTTGAACATGAACTTGAGCGCGTTCGATTTTTGTCAATGAACGTTGAACGCGTTCGATTTTTTTATAAATGTTTACAGCACTATATATCATATTTTGCATTATTTATTTTTAAATATTTAATAAATAGTGTTCTTTTGATCATAATTTATAAGTGCTTGATTTATATTTAGTTTTAGGAAGAAAACTGCTAAAATGAAATTCACATTATTAATATTTTGTAAAAATATTAAATAAAATTACAATACCATATATTAGCTTTTATTAATAAGACAAAATTTTTTTTTTTTAAATTTGTCTTAACAACATTTTGATTATAAAAGTAAAATACTAGTTTCTTTACGAATGAAATTTTATTGAAATCAAAATAGAAGATGATTAATATAATTTTAGTACATTTTCTACTTTATAATTTTAATTTAGGTTTATATTAAAATACAAAGATTAAGATTTCCTGTGATACATTATTTTAAGAAAATTAACTTGGAAATATTTTTAAAACCCCAATATAAATATTTTGATTAAGCTATAAAATTGGATTAATAACTAAAAAGAATCCAAAAACTTTCAATTCACGTACCTGTAGTTCTTTAACTAAGATCAAATTTTGTATTTAAAAAATAATCTTGTACACCTATTAGTTTACAATAAATGAAGTACTTTTTTGCAACAAATTCTATTCAGTATTTAAGTATAAAAAAAATATGTATATACAAATAAAGATAAATATCTATTTAACATGGACATGATATGTATAATCTTTAATAATTATGTGATACACATTATTTGCAACTTTCTAACATCATGGGAAAATTTTTTTTGACTGGAATAAAAGATATCTCCTTGGTTATAGTTTCTACCAATGCATTGTAGTATCTTATATTTTAAATGTTGTTCAAAAATGTTAATAAGGCCTTATTATTCCTTAACTTGAGTATAGCTTTCTTTATCTCCAATGTAGTAAAATTTGAATCAGAGGGGGTTTTATTGTTCCTCATAGATGGTACCAGGTATTCGGAGTTGAACATTGTAGAATAGTGATCGAGCCATAGTTTCATTTATTCTTCTGGGTCACGGATAATATTATTATCTATTTTAAGTTTGGGAAGGCATTTAAAATTCCAAGATTTACAGATTTCCGTCTATCAGACGCTAGGAGCCTTTGTATAGTTTTTCTGACTCTTTACCATTAGTTTTGCTATCTTGGGTTCCGTGATCGGGGAAATTCATTCCTTAAGGGGAATGCCTCTGACTCTTGTATAGTTTTTACAATTAGATAATAATTGCTTAAAATCGCTCCAACACTTTTCCATAGTTGAGTTCCGATTTGTTTGTAGAATTGATTTATATCCAAGGAAAGCCTGATAGAGACCGCATTCTTAACCAGAGGGCATTAAAGATGTTAAGATTTTCTTTAAAGTTGGGTTGACTAAGCGATTTTCTCGTGTCGTACAAAATGTATTTTTATTTCTCCACATGTCACTTTTAATCATTACGTGCCCCTTAACCATTTGATGGTCCGAAATATTGACGGTAGTAATCGCTTTTACGTCATAAAACCAATTATGGATATTGATAATATAAAGTCAATCTACGAAAAATATTTATTTCTGTAGAGATTTTTATGTTGAAAGAACTTATTTTTAACCTTAAGGTTTTTATTTTTACATAGTTCTAGTAAAGCAAGAATATCTGAACCATTCGGGCAAGACACAGTAGCGTTACCAATATATTATTCTTTAAATAAGATTCGTCTCTTTCAATTTTAGTATTGAAGTCTCCTAAAATTATCAGGCTGTACCTCTTGGGTAAATATCAAAGACATTTTCCAACTCATTAAAAATAGCATTCTCTCTCTTAGTGTTGGGGGTGCATATACATTTAAGAGAATCATTGGTTTATAGGCTGTATTAATATACAGGGCATACATTCTTTCTGATATAGAAACAAATTTCCTAACAAATTGGTAAATATTATTTTTTATTAGAAAGGCAGTGACTGACCTATTTGTTTATTACCTTAATTTAGTAATGTATCTCTGAAAACTGCTTTCAAATCATTGATCATGTCCTGCAGGGCAATTATGTCTATATCTTCATTGGAGAGTAGTTTGGTAAGGATAGGTATTTTATTATAAAGACCATTAATGTTAGAGGTAGATACATATAAAGATCCCTTACATATTTGGGAAATAGAGTATTTTATGGAAATGAGTACTTAATATAATTTGGGACAAAAGCTTAAGAACAAAAATTTTATCGCAAAATTATAAAGAAAACGTTTAATTTATGATAAGTAATAATAAGAAGGAAGAGGAATTACTGAAAGATAATGAATGCATTAAAATAAATAAAATAAGATAGTTATTTCAGGATAATCAACCGGTCATAAAACCACAACTCACGAAAAATATTATTAAATCAAGGTTAAGAATTATTATTACATTAACAAATTAAGAATTAAATTTTTATAAAAATAAAACATGGAAGAAAAAATCAAAATAATTTAAAAGAAACTTCTCTC